TCCCTAACCCCCAAGGGGGCGGGGGGAGTGACGACTCGGGGGGTCCACCCGGGGGGGGGGGATCGCGTAGAGTGATCCCCATCCGAGAAGCAGAGCGGAACGGGAGGGAGCAAGGGCAGTTCATTAGAACTGCTGGGTCTCTTCCCTCCCGCTTGACAAGGATCTCTTCCTAGAAAGGGGTCCTCGGGACGGTGGTCCCAGACTTGATGCCGAATCCTAACCCCCTCTGGGGGCGGAGGGAGCATCACGTTTGGGATCGGGGGACTGTGGGTTTGCAGTCCGGGGGGCCTCCAGACTCATTGCACACAGTCCCCAGGGACGGAGAGGAGGGTGGACGTGGTCCCACCCTTCCCTTCGTGAGAGGAGTGCGCACGTGGTGCGTGGACGAGGGGGTATTCCGGTGAAATGCTAGTTCGATCCCGGAATATCCCCACTATTCGTCATGGCAGACCACCGACGGGTTTAGTGGGTCGGGGGAGGGCCTTCAGCCCTCCTTTCGCCATTGGGCGTTAACCATCCCCACATAATCCGAAGCTTCCCCCAAAGTAGAGGATATGTGTTTAGCACATTCCCGTCGTAAAAAAAAAAAAAAGGCGGACGTGTGTGTGTGTAGGTAGGGCAGATCCCTCAGAGGCACTACGGTCCCTCAGGGGCACTACGGACTCATCCCCGTAGTGTACGGGTGTCGCAATCCCGAGGTACCCTAGCTGGAGTGAATGGTGATGGATGAACGAGGAGTGATGGGCGTGCAGGCCCTAAGAAGGACTTGTCCACTGCACTAGGTGAAGGAAAACACCGAAGATAACACCCGGGGGGGAGGCCCCGTTGGCTGAGTAAGGCAACCTCCTAAGGGGAAGGAAACCCCCGACAGAAAAAACCAATTTTTTCTTATTATAGATGATGGAGCAAAATAAAAAAAGAGACGACTTCCTGGGGTCGGTAACCAGGAACCGGCGTGGGGGGGGGGATGTAGGCCTGGCTCCCTCCTCGTCGTCATCGAGCGACAGGTCATCCGCAGATTTGCCGGCTGGGTCCGCGGATGGGAAAGTGACAGCGCCGTTTAAGAGCGTGAAGGAGTTCTGCGACCGGTTGGACGAGATGCAGTCCAGATTGGACAAGTGTTCCCTCCTGGCTAAGGACCAAATTAGCTTGGAGGATTTCAACCGGAATCTGGTGGAGTTGGGGGTGGTCAGTGCGGATGAGGTAGTCCGTGCTGATGACCCACAGGTAAGTGGCTATTTGTCGGGGGCGGGGTCGTATGCGGCCGCTTCCCCTCTTGGGGGGTCGCCTGGCGCGATCACCCTGCCCGACGAATCTATGTCGTTTTCTTCCCCGGGACCCATTGTGAAAGATGAGGTTCCGGAGTTTGAATCGGTAGGGGAGTGCGCTCTCCTCAAGGAGGAGGTGAAGCGTCTCCAGGGGCGTATTGAACAGCTCGAGAGGGACAACAGGTCCCTTCATGAGCTGTTGGAGACAAGTAAGAAGGCGGCTGCGCTTTCTCCCTCTTCTGGGTCGGATCCGTGGGATTATGGGGGAGGGAGTCGCCTCTCGCGATGAGATTCGGAATGCCCTGGTGTCTCTGGGGGGATGCTCGGTCGGGGATGTTCGGATTGGAAAGGTTCGGACTCCTCGGGGCTCCCCCTGGAGCACCGTTTGGGTACGTTGCCCGGTGGCAGCGGCGCGCAGGGCTGTCTCCGCGGGGAGGCTCAAGGTTGGATGGGTTGTGTTGGAGGTGGAGCTGCTTAGCGCCCCCCTTCGGTGCTATCGCTGCCTCGAGGTGGGGAATACGCGTCATCGCTGTTCGAGGGGTGTTGACCGTTCTGACCGCTGTTATCGGTGCGGCGTGTCGGGGCATCGTGCGGCGTTTTGTGACGCCACACCTCGCTGTCCGATCTGTTCGGACGGGGAGGTGTTGGCGGCGCATTCTTTGGGGGCTCGGGGGTGTCGTCACTTGGGGCTCCCAACTTCTGAGGCGGATGGTAGGCGCCGGGCTCCGGGCCGTCCCGATGGTGGACGGCCTATGGAGATTGAGGCTGCCTCAGTGGGCGTTCCTGCTGCCGAGCGTGCGCGGGCTCCTGAGAGTCCCGAGTGGATAGGGGTAGACTGTAGTCTGGGGCGGGGGGGGGGGGTCATCGAGAGGTGGGTTCCCTGTGCCGGGCTGCAGCTCTGCCCCTAATGTCTAGTGTTGTTGTGTCTCTTGTCGTAGTGAGTAGCGGTGGGTGCGGGGGGGTTCCGGGGGGGATGCCGAAAGGTGACCTCGCGGTCTCCCTGTCCCGCCAAGTATGTATAGTAGGTAGTGGCGATGGGTGTTGAGTGTCGGGGAGGCTGCCGAAAGGTGACTCCGCGGCCTCTTCACCCACGCCAAGTCCATGTTGTTTGTTTAGTCTTGTTGTCTTTCGTTCATAGCTGGGAGTAACAACCCTCCCACCTTCATTGTGGTTGGCCATAGTGCCTCGTTGTTGGTCCCTAGAGGGCTGGGCCTGTGGCCCTTACTTGGTTTTCTGTCTGTGGATGTGAATGTCTGTCCACGTAGTTGGTGGCGTCCCGTGACGTCTTAAATGTGGGGTGGGCGGCTGCGGCCGTCTCACTAACCGGGTTCGGCAGGGAGAAGGGTGGGGGCCCTGATCCCATTGCACGTCGACCCAGGAAAGTCCGGGGGGAGCTAGTAGCCCGGCTCCCTCCGATGCCCTTCGGGGCAAGGGTATTGTCTTCTCCGGGAGGATGCCTGAAGTGTCCTCTCGGGGGGATGTGTCCTACCTACAGGACGCCGGTCGGGTGTCCACCGTGAAGTAATGCTAACGCGGTTCCGCGGTGGACAATACCCATACGACCAGAAGCTTCAGTCAGGTTTTAGGTCGGTCCCCCGCCCGATAGTCCCTCGGAATATTACGTGGCGGGAATCCACCACAAAGCCTCCTGACCCTCCCTCAGGGGTCAGGACGGCGAAGTTTGGTTTAGGCAAATTTCCTGACTATAAAAAAAAAAGGTAAGGCAGAAATTCCTTCAGGGGCACTACGGACTCATCCCCGTAGTGTACGGGTGTCGCAATCCCGAGGTACCCAAGCTGGAGTGCGTGCGAAGGATGAATGGGGCGTGATGGGCGTGCAAGCCTTAAAAAGGACTTGTCCACTGCACTAGGTGAAGGAAAACACCGAAGATAACACCCGGGGGGGAGGCCCCGTTAGCTGAGTAAGGCAACCTCCTAAGAGGAAGGAAAACCCCTAACAGAAAAAACCAATTTCTTTTTTCAGAACACTATGGTAGGAAAGAAAAAAGAAGAGATCGTCCTAGGGTCGGTAACTAGGAACCGGCGTGGGGGGGTGTAGGCCTGGCTCTCCCCTCGTCGTCATCGAGTGACGGGTCGTCCCTGAGTTTGCCGGCTGGGCTCAGGGATTTGTTTGCAGTGCCGAGAAGTGCAATCGACGAGGTCGAACTAGAGTTGATTGACTTAGTGACCTACTGAGAGGAACGCGATCCAAGTGTCGATCCGAAGGAACTCGCGCTGTGTTTTTGCCGAGTCCTTCGGGACAAGGAAGTGTGTGTTTTTCGCCCTCTTGGCATGTATCGCAGATTGGCGATGCATGTCAGAGAGTTTTTAAACAGGTGTTCTCGCGGCCAGACCCGGTATTGTGTGTCCCACGTGTGTGTGGACGCTACGGACCTGACAAACACTAAATGTGCATCAGGGTCCTTGGTGGGTACACCAGTGGGTTCAGGTAGCGACTGCTCACAGCATCTTCGGTCACCGGAGATAGTGCGCGGGGCCAGTGGAGACGAGACCAGCTGGCTGCTGGACCCTCTGTCCTCTCCATCTCGTCTCTTTCTTTAGCTGAGGACGTGATAGACGTGGAGTGGCAGCCCTCAGACAAGAGGCTGCTGACCGGACAGAAGCAGTACTCCAGGAGGGCAGAACCAGGTACGTCCAAAGCGAAAAAAGAAACGCGGGGTCGTCCCAAAAAGACCGGAGACTATGTTGATTTGGCTGAGGCCAAGCGTCTCAATCAGGCTACTGAACGAGAGCTCCAATTGGCGGACATCCGCAGGCTCCTGGACCTGAGTTGTCTGCGGTAGGTTTGGAGAACATTCCGTCAGGCGAGGCTTTCCGGGCTAGCCTGCGGAATGTCACCAACCTGGAACTCAGCAGGCTGGTGGAGGTGTCTGCTTCCCAAGTGGAGAAGGCGGCCGAGGTTTCTGGTTTCGATCCAATCGTGGCCAGGGATCTACGGATCTCTTTGATAAGACTGGGGAGCATCTTTCACGAGATGGAGGGGCGTATTGTCCTTGAGGCTGACCTCCAGATTGAAGCTCTCCGGAGCGAAAATCTGGGGCTTAGGGAGAAAATTTCGGCTCTCGAGCGGGATCGTGACAGGGTGGCTGGCGAGATGGCTGCCGTCCGAGCTGTCATGCCGCAGCTGGAGGATGCAGCCTTCTACGGAATTTTGAAGAAGGCCCCGAAGAAGAGGCGGCGTGCGGAAGCCTCTCCGGAATCCGCAAAGGACGAGACAGAGCGAGAGGAGGTGCTGCCGGGGTCGCACCCTCTTACGGTTGCGGACCTCTCGGCCATTCTCGACAGGAGGTTTGCCGGCCTGAGGGCCGACATCACGTCGGCAGTTCTGGCCAATTTGAGGCCCTTGCTCGGGGGGCGGTCTGGGGCCTCTCCATCGGGAGAGATTTCCATGGGTGCGCCCTTGGCGAGCACAGGAGGTGGCATTGGTGTGCCGGGGTCTGGTCCCGTGGCCGGGGGCTCCGCCGCCTCCGCTTCTGCGGAAGTTTCGGCGGATGTCCCTGGTCCCGGGTCCTCCAAGAGGGTCGGGAGGCGACGTCGTAAGCGTGGGCCTAGACGAGCCTCCTCTAAAGATGGAGCTGCTCCAGTGGACAACTCTGCCCAGGGGTGAAAGCGGACTCGTCGTCCCGCCAGGCTCCCCTCTAAGTCGGTGGTCTCATTGACAGTTGAGGGGGAGGGGCGGGAGGAGACGTACGCCTTGGTCCTATCAAGGGCCATGAAAGAGGTGGACCTGCCCAGTCTGGGGATTTCTGGCACCCGTTTGCGTCGGGGTGTTACGGGCAGCATCCTGGTGTCCATTCCTGGACGGGATTCCGGTTGCAAGGCGGAAGCTATGTCTGGCAAGCTTCGCAGGCTCTTCCCGCCTGATAGTGGTGTGAGGGTTGGCCACCTCTCTCGTATGGAGGAAATACGAGTCCGAGGAATTTTGGCCTACATGCGAACGGACGAGATTCTGTCTTCTTTGGCGGTGTCAGGTAGATGTAGGGTTGCTGACTTGAAGGCGGGGGAGATCCGTGTTTTCCCTAAATCCAAGGTTGGCACTCTCTGGGTCCGATGTCCAACTGTGGCTGCGCGAAGACTGGGGGTGCAGGGCAGCATTGTTATGGGTTGGGCGAGGCTGACGGTTACTCCGCTGGCTCGTCGGCCCATACAGTGTTTCAGATGCCATGCCTTTGGACATTTGTCCAATAGGTGTGGCTCTGAGGTTGTTCGCAGCAACTGCTGCTTTAGGTGCGGAAAGGAGGGGCATCCGGCAGCGAAATGTGAAGCGCCGCCACTGTGTGCCCTGCAGCATCAGCGGGAAGCCGGCGAATCATTGTGCGGGTTCAAGCGCATGTGCAAGGAGGTGTGAGCCTCCTCGCAGATTGGTTGGTGGCAGGGAGTCTGTTCCCTCTGGGCGCAGGCAGACTTTAGGGCGCCCTGACGGGGGGACTAAGGTGAGGGTCCCCAGTCCAGTGGCGGGTCCGTCGGGGATTGCGGGGGGGCGGCGGAGCGTGTCGAGGGGTGCGTCTGTTGCGTCCTCCTGTGCCCCGACGGAGTTAATGTCGGATTAGTATGTTGTCTAATGTTGCTATGAGGGCTGCGGCCTTACTGCTCCCCAGTAAAATGGGGACCTTTGGCCCGGTTACGCCCTCTGTCCTTAGTCCGCTTTTATGTTTAGTAGGTAGCGGTGGGCTGCGGGGGGTTCCGGGGAGGTTGCCGAGAGGCGCTTCCGTGGCCTCCTCGCTCTCGCCAAGTAAATGTCTGTGTTGTGTATTTGTATACTTGTGAGGTAGACGTCCATCTGTCCACCCCCTCTATTCGTCGTCGGCCATAGTGCCTCTACTGTGGATGGCCTTTGTGCCTCAATGTGGGCTCTTTAGGAGCTGGGCCTGTGGCCCCTAGTTGGTTTTCATTGTGGTTGTGTATATGTACACGTCGAGTTTATGATGTCCTGTGACGTCAATTCATGTTGGGTGGATGACTGCGGTCATCTCGCCACCCTGGTTGGCAGGAAGAGGAGTGGGGGCTCCAATTCCATTGCACGTCGGCCACGGGATGGTCGGGAGTGGGCTGATAGCCCGGCTCACTCCTCTTTACCCTCTCGGGGTGAGGGCATTGGACGGGTCAACTCTTCCAGTTGCCCGGGGATGTGTCCTTAACAGGACCAGGTCATGGGTGTCCACCGTGAAGTAATGCGTTAGCGGTTCCGCGGTAGACAATACCCGTCAACGACCAGGGGCTATAGTCAGGTTTTAGGCTGGTACCCCGTCCGATAGTCCTTCGGGATACTACGGGCGGGAATCCGCCACGAAGCCTCCTGGCCCTCCCTCAAGGGTCAGGACGCGAAGTTTGGTTGGCAAATTTCCTGACTTAAAAAAAAAAAAAAAAAGGTAGAGCAGAAATCCCTCAGGGGCACTGCGGACTCATCCCTGCAGTGTACGGGTGTCGCAATCCCGAGGTACCCGAGCTGGAGTGTGTGCGAAAGATGAATGAGAAGTGATGGGTGTGCAGACCCTAAAAAGGACTTGTCCACTGCACTAGGTGAAGGAAAACACCGAAGATAACACCCGGGGGGGAGGCCCCGTTAGCTGAGTAAGGCAACCTCCTAAGGGGAAGGAAAACCCCTGACAGAAAAAACCATTTTTTTTATTACAGATGATGGAGTCGAATAAAGAAGAGAACGTCCCGGGTTCGGGTACCGGAAACCGGCGGGGGGGGGGGGTGTAGGCCTGGCTCCCTCCATGTCGTCATCGTACGACAGGTCGTCCGCAGTTTTGCCGGCTGGGGCTGCGGACAAGACAGCGACAGTGCCGAGGAAGGAGGAAGCCGTTGTGTACAAGCGGTTGAGGGACCTAATCCGTCGCTGGGACACTCTCGACCGTAGTACTGATCCGAGGGAGCTTGCTGCGTTTTCTCGCCGAGTTCTCTTGGAGAGTAAGGTGCGGAGACATCTCGGGATAGTCGAGTACAGGGTACTTTCGTGGTACGTCGATGACTTTTTTCGGGAGTGCTCGCGGGGAAAGACAGACTTTTGTGCTGGTCACGTGTGCGTGCGGTTTTTTGAGCCGGTGGTGCCCAATGGCTCATCGGGCTCGCTGACCGGGGAGGTGAATGAGGCGGACAGTGTCTGTTCTCAGCCTCTTCCCTTACCGAAGAAAGTGCGTGGTGTCAGTGGGGACGAGGACCAGCAGGCTGCGGGACCCTCTGCCCTCTCCATCTCATCCCCTTCCTCTGCCGAGGACGTGATGGATGTGGAGTGGACTCCACATGATAAGAGGCTCCTGACTGGGAGGAAACAATACCCAGTCAGGGGTTCAGGTAAGTCGAAAGCGCGTACTGAAACGCGGGGTCGCCCCAAAAAAACCGGGGATTACGCTGGGCTGGCCGAGGCTAAGGAGCGCCTCAACAGAGCGGTGAAGCGGGAGCTCCAACTTGCAGACATTCGCAGGGTTTTGGACCCAGATCTTGGTCCGGAGCTGTCTGCGGTAGGTGTGGAAAACATACCGTCGGATGAAGTTTTTCGGGCCAGCCTGCAGAACGTTACCAACCAGGAGCTTCGCAGGTTGGCTGAGACATCCGCTTCCCAAGTGGAGAAGGTGTCCGGGGTTACTGGTCTCGATCCGATCGTGGCCAGGGATCTCCGGATATCTTCAATGAGACTAGGGAACATTTTCCATGAGATGGAGGGACGTATTGTGCTCGAGGCGGACCCCCAGATTGAAGCTCTTCGGAGCGAAAATCTGGGGCTTAGGAACAGGATCTCGGCTCTCGAGCGGGAGCGCGATAGAGTGGCCGGTAAGATGGCTGCTGTTCGGGCTGTTCTCCCGCAGTTGGAGGAGGAGGCCTTCTATAAGGTCTTAGAGAAGGCTCCAAAGAAAAGGAGGCGAGCGATGTCTTCTCCGGAATCCATATCAAACGTGGCGGAACGAGAAGGGGTGCTGCCGGGATCGCATCCTTTGACGGTTGCGGATCTCTCGGCAATCCTGGATAAGAGGTTTGCCGAACTGAGGGTCGACATTGCGTCAGCGGTTTTGACTAATGTTAGGTCCTTGCTTGCGGGGCGGTCTGCGGCTCCTCCAACTGGAGGGGTTTCCATGAGTGCGCCCTTAGCGAGCTCAGGTGATGGTGCTTCTGTGCCAGGGCCTGGTCCCGTGGCTGGGGGCTCCGCCGCTTCCGCTTCTGCGGAGGTTTCGGCGGATGTCCCTGGCCCCGGGTCCTCCAAGAAGGGTGGGAGGCGACGTCGTAGGCGTGGGCCTAGACGTGCCTCCTCTAAGGATGTTCCTGCTTCTTTGGGCAATTCTGCCCAGGGGGGAAGCGGATCCGTCCTCCCGTCAGGCTCCCCTCTAAGTCGGTGGTTTTGCTGACGGTTGAGGGGGAGAGGCGGGAGGAAACGTACGCATCGGTCTTATCAAGGGCTATGAAGGAGGTGGACCTGACCAACCTTGGGATTGCTGGCACCCGTTTGCGCCGGGGTGTCACGGGAAGCATCCTGGTGTCCATCCCTGGAGAGAACTCTGACTGTAAGGCGGATGCCCTGTCGAGCGAACTTCGTAAGTTGTTCCCGCCTGATAGTGGCGTAAGGATTGGCCGCCCCTCTCGTATGAAGAAGATGCGAGAGCGGGGGATACTGCCCTACATGGGTAGAGCGGAAATCCTAGCTGCTGTGGCTGCATCAGGAGGATGCAGTGTTGCTGACCTGAAGGCGGGGGAGATCCGTATCTCCCCTAAATCCAGAGTTGGATCTCTTTGGGTCCGGTGTCCGGCAGTTGCTGCTTGCAAAGTAGGGACTCAAGGCAGCATTGAGGTGGGGTGGACGAGGCTAACGGTTACTCCGTTGGCCCGTCGACCCATTCAGTGTTTCAGATGCCATGCCTTTGGACATTCGTCCAATAGGTGTGGCTCTAAAATTGATCGCAGCAATTGCTGTTTTAGGTGCGGTAAAATGGGGCATTTGGCAGCTAGATGCGAAGCGCCATCTCATTGTCTTTCTTGTGGCATCAGCAAGAAGCCGGCGAATCATCGCGCAGGTTCCAGCGCATGTGCGAAGAGGCACATGCCCCCTCGCAAATTAGTTGGCGGTAGGGAGTCTGCCCCCTCCAAGCGTAGGCAGACTCCAGGGCGTCCTGATGGGGGGACTGAGGAGAGAGTCCCCAGTCCAGTGGCGGGCCCGTCGGGGATTGCGGAGGGGCGACGGAGTGTGCCAAGGAGTGTGTCCGTTGCATTCTCCTGTGCCCCAACGGAGTTAATGTCGGATTAGTATTTTCGTCTAATGTTGTTATGAGGGCTGCGGCCTTACTGCTCCCCAGTAAAATGGGGACCTTTGGCCCGGTTACGCCCTCTGTCCTTAGTCCGTTTCTATGTTTAGTGGGTAGCGGTGGATTGCGGGGGTTTCGGGGAGGTTGTCGTGAAGCAGCTCCGCGTACTTTTTCGCTCCCGCCAAGTTAATGTTTAATATAAAACAAACTGTTAATCTCGGCTCAAATTATTGTGTTACAATAAAAATAAAATCTCGACGGCAATCGGAGCCTGTGCGGATGACATGCACAAAATTAATAAATTAAAATGAGATCTCAAGTCAAACTCATTTATTAAATTCTAAACGTTTCGACCCACTTCGGGTCTTCTTCAGTAGCTGCAAAATACAAAGAAACAAAAAAAAAATAAATAAAAGATAATCGGTACAATCAGAAAATTATAAAACTCGTATACATACAATCCGCAAATAAATTAAATATCATTCTCCTCCCTATTCGAACCGTCCGGCCGTCGGAGTGTCTCCCTAACGGTGACCATCGTCAGGAAGGAAGCAGAGCAGTGACTCCCTTACCAACACTAATCAACATAGTATAAATTAAACGTGTAAGATCCCCAAGAATTATAAATTAAAAACCGGGAAGAACACTCACCCCGACAGCAAAAACAGAGAGAAGACGATGCTACACGTGACACATCACTCTAACGACTGTGCGGTATTCTACCTCGACACAGTCGATACATATATACGCAAAAAAAAACAAATATAAAAATAAAATATGAAAATAAAAATAAAAACAACTAATACTTATCGGCACTCATGTCAAAGGTCTAACGAAAAAATCCGGTTATGTATAATCACAAAGCTAGATTTTGGTAAATTTTTCAATTAACAGATCAAAATTCTCGTTTAATTTGTCGGTGTCGCTATGTAAATTTAAACTATTCTTCTGACGCTTTATGTGGATCATTTCGGATATCAAACGTTTACCTAAAAAAGGCTCCTCATCCAAGATTTTTACATCCTCCCAATTAAATTCATGGTTCAATAATCTATGTTCCGATATGACTGATAATTGTGACGCGTTTCTTTTTATGTTGCTGCGATGTTCTTTC